TTTATTCCCTCTTTTCTTTATTCCAGCACAGAATAAAACTCAGATAACTGACTCTGTGTTGAGATCAGTGCTGCTACATGAACACGAGAAACACAATTACTGACACTCTTTATGGCAACCATATGGACAACACACACACACACACACACACACACGCACACACTCACAAACACACACACACACACACACACACACACACACAACAGCACTCATTCAAGACGACAACACATGAACACACACATCACTGTAGGAACCGACACCTCGGCAGCAGATTGTATTTGCATATAAGAGTACAAATGCAAACACATATACACAACAGACACACACACACACACACACACAGAGGTATTATTTGCATACATTTGCATGTTCCTAGACAGATTTCCAAATCAGCATCTCCCCATCCGTCCCTGCAGAACAGCATCACACACTCTGCTGTTATCAGGATACACTATTTACTTCTGCTGTATCTGTGTGTGTTTGTTTGTGGGTTTGTTTACACGTGTCGACTTTGTTGTGGTTGCCAGCAGCGCTAACGTTAGCGGCGGTTAGCTTCAATTAGAATTCGTGGCTCTTAATTGGCGCGTCTTGTTAAATAAAGCAGAGGAGGATGAAAAAGCATCGCTAATAGGACTTTGAACTGCTACGCTGGTGATAGCATGTTAGCTAGCCGGCTGCGTGTGTGTGTCTGTGTCGATAGTCACACTGCACTTTGTAGTTATTAGTGTGTGTTTGTGTGTATAATTGTGTGTGTTTTGTTGATTAGTGCAGAGTGAAGCAGGTTTTCTCTCCTCGTTAGATCTGCTGGTTTTCTTCTTTTTAGATTTTCTCTCCAAACATTGACGAGACTTTTAGACGATATTTTAGAAGAAATAGATCGAAACTCAACAAAACAGCTGCTGCATCGTTTACACAACTTCTAACGAATCTCCGTTCAACCAACGACTACGCTGACGTTCGTCTGCAGTCACAGGAGTTTTTATTCAACTGAAATCATCGTCATGTTTAGATGATCTGAAGGTGAAGAAGAACGAAGTTATGAAGCCAGTTTTTCTCCGTTTCCTGTTTAAATCAGCTACACAGCAATGTGTGTTTAAACTACACACAATCAGACGTTGATGCAGCGCCATGACGACCATCAAAACAACGACAAAGCTTCATTTCAATCCCTAAATTAGATGCTTTTTATAATACTGCAGTTGTGTTGTGTTGTGTTGTGTTGTGTT